CTCTGACACACCCATCCCGATTACCCCAGTCACCGAATCAATCCATCTCATAGAGGGTCTTCCCCTCCTGCGCTGTCCCTCCACCCTCCCAAGAATGATGTCATAGGTGATAATTTAAGGAAAGGGAGCTCTGGTGTCCTAGGGGTAAGAAACTGCATTGCAATCCCAAATACAGGTTGTTTGAATCCACCAGCTTCTCAGAGTAGGATGGGCGGCAATTTCCGCCTGTGCAATATTTTTCCCTTTTTTTTTTTATTTTATACTGGTTTACTTACATAAAGTTCATATACATTGTTTTTCACACTGGATCTTTCCCGTTTCCTTTACCCACCCTGCCTTCCACTCATCAAAATGTGTGACCCTATGATTAAGCCTCCTGCCTCCCATGCAATTTACTGACTCTGAAAATGGACTAGAGGGTCAGCTACCAGTTGGTTCTAACTCGAAAGTACCCAACAACATTCAAGGAAAACATTTTTTTTAAGATTCTCCTGTAAAACACTTCTCAAAGGGGGAAATTATTGAAATGGCAAGCAGTTTAACTGGGATTGTGCTTTGGTCTCCGAGTGAAGATGACGAAACGTGGGTACAGGGTACAGCTTTTCGCTGGCAGCATTGAGCCCATCTGGAAAACTTGTCCAGATTGAATATGCTTTGGCTGCTGTAGCTGGAGGAGCTCCTTCAGTGGGAATTAAAGCTGCAAATGGTGTGGTGTTAGCAACTGAAAAGAAACAGAAATCCATTCTGTGTGATGAGCGAAGTGTACACAAAGCGGAACCAATCACTAACCAAAAACTAAGGTTTGGTGTACAGTGGCATGGGCCCAGGTTACAGAGTACTTGTACACAGAGCTCGGAAGCTAGCTCAACAGTATTATCTTGTTTACCAAGAGCCCATTCCCACAGCACAGCTTGTTCAGAGGGTAGCTTCTGTGATGCAAGAATACACCCAGTCAGGTGGTGTGCGTCCATTTGGAGTTTCTCTACTTATTTGTGGTTGGAATGAAGGACGACCTTCGTTATTTCAGTCAGATCCTTCTGGAGCTTATTTTGCCTGGAAAGTGACAACAATGAGAAAGAACTATGTGAATGGGAAAACTTTCCTGGAGAAAAGATATAATGAAGATCTTGAACTTGAAGATGCCATCCATACAGCCATCTTAACTCTAAAGGAAAGCTTTGAAGGACAAATGACAGAAGATAACATAGAAGTTGGAATCTGCAATGAAGCTGGATTTAGGAGACATACTCCAACAGAAGTTAAAGATTACTTGGCTGCCATAGCATAATAATGAAGTGACTGAATAATATGTAATTTCAGGTAATATATCTACTTAAATATGTTTTCTTTTTTCAGAAAAGAAAAAAAAAAGATGTTTAACTGGAGAATTTCCCAGCCTTACCCAGGGTTCTGTTCTCTCTCTCTCCACTTCTGGGAGCTGCTTTAATGTTCTGTTAGAAATAGGAAATACTCTACATTATCTCAGCTGTGGCAAATTATTTCCCTGCATCTGGGAATGATAGAAGCAATCTGAGAGGCTGCCCTGGGCACTAATAACTCAAAAAGAAATTGTAGGTCCTTCAAATCATGCACATCATTTAATCAGAAAAGCAGCTTTCATCACTGCCACAAAACTTTCTGTTTAGTTCTACAGAGATTCTTCTAACTTAAAACTCTGTGTGTGTGTGTGTGTGTGTGTGTGTGTGTGTGTGTGTGTGTGTGACTTTGTATTTTGAATTCTCTGTGGTTCTTGTTTCTCTTCATCCATCCATCCTTTCTCTTCCTACCTTCTGAGTTTCATCCTTGGACAAATGTTGCCTTTATGATCCTGTGTGGGTCTAAGTGTTCTAAGGGCTGAGTAGCTCCTTGAGGTTATTGTTCCCTTTATAAATCTGTTTATTGGTTAGTTCATCAAGAGCGCTCAGTGGCCTAGTCTGTAGGTAGTTGCACTACTGACCCAAAGGCTGCATTTCCCTAGCAGTTCAAATCCACCAGTGGTTCTTCAGGACAAAGATGAGTATCTCATCCCATGGGAGTTTCAGAAATTCCTGGAGAGTCAGCTATAAGTCATGGCTGACAATGAGGGGAGGATTGGTTAGCTGCAAGTTGTGCCACAGGGATGAGTTCAGTTCCAGGCTCAAAGGATGACCAAGGGCCATGGTTACATGTATACCATCAGTCCCTGTCAAACAAGTAAGCTGGCCATTATTATTTTGAGTTTTGTTCTA